GCAAATTTTATAAAGTATGCATATTTTTACACGTATATTACAATTTTTTAATCTATATGCAAGAACTTTTGAAGATCAATATGCAAAAATGGAGGGAGTGTAACCGGTATATTATATTTGTTAACAGTATGGACAACATTAAAATGTTTTTAAATGCTAAAACAAGAAATTTCATTACAAAAAATTTAAAATACTAAACACTTTTATGCAAATAATTGTGAGGAAAAAATATCTTTATTAAAAAAAATTCTGTCATTTTATTTGAAATTCGGTTCGATGCATGCATATTCATATAAGGGCTTGTCTTTTCTCCCCTCATTATTGCAGTTATGGAAAGAAAAATAAGTCATGAATAGTGACAGTTTATTTTTCTACTCATGTCCATGTTTTTATTAATCTAGTGAAAACTCAAATACTTATTCTATGAAAAAATGGCACAATCAAGGAGATTGTTTGTTTTGAAAAAGAAAAAAATTTCCCCGTCTTTGTTTAGAAAAGAATCTTGCCAATTTCCCTCATATCATATCCTCATAGTCCGCTTATAGATCCATGACGTAAATAGAGTAGCATAATGTTAACAATTAGAGGAAGATAACGAGTCATCATATGATTTTTCAGGTTAAAGTGTAAATTCAGACGATTATTTCATCTTTTTTTTTCCTTCCCTTATAATCAAAATCACATTTTATTTCTGAAAAAGACATAAATAAGATAAGGGTAGTATAGTTTTAAGAACTTGTGTTTCGGAATGGGCATTTGCATATTTATTTGTTATCGTCTCTATAATTTTGGCTCTTGCTAATGAAACTATATATTTTCCCACAAAAGAAAAACATACCCGGGGGCAATTAGGTAATTCTAAAGATCCATGTAAGTGGAGCACGTAAATGCAACAAGCTGTCATCGTGATTTGTCATCACATCTTTGCAGAGAGGACATCTCTTGCCAACGTCCTTCATACGAACATGGGACACGGCCTTCATTAGAGACACATTATATGACAACAAATCCATCAATTAATAAATTATTCGCAGAGGTGAAAGGAAACAAGTGCTTTCTTTCTTTACTTTACTTTACTTTTCTTTTCTTTACTTTTTCGCCAACAAGACTGATGCTTTCTTTCTTGACCCTGTCAAAAGAAAACTCAGACGTAAAGAATTACAATTTATGTATGTTTTAATTTCTTGTTTGGAATAAAGAAATTTCTTTGAGATAAGAATAAGAAATGGCATTGTGTTTGGTTGGCAACAATTTGATAACCTTAGTGTAATTAGTTTATTATTTCACAAAAATAATTAGATTTTTAATCGACGATGCGTATATAGATATACTATTTTGTCATTTTTCTTTATATCAAAATATATTCAGTTCTATAATTGATGAAATTTCCTAGACATTTTCCATATCATTGACGTAGACCTAGAAAAGGAATTTCCTCTTATTTTTCTATACTAACACTTCAAATCAAGCCAACTTGAGTATCTTTTGCATTGGGAAAGGGGCACAATAACTCCAATCTCACTTAAAAATATATTTTTAATTTATTATTCATTTTATACCTTATCTTTTTATATTTAATTGCAGGATTAAATAGGTGAATTTTATAATAAAATTTCCTATTTAATCCAGGAATTAAATATGAAAGATATGGTATAAAATCAATCGAATGTGTATATATAATATCAATTACAATCTCAAAATCAAAACTGTTTCTCCATTTATATGTAAATAATAAAAGGTTTTAAAAATATTACAGGTTTTTACAATAAAGATATTTGAGAATTAATCTTTCTAGGGAGCCTTGGGTGCGAAGATTTCTCATGGTTAGCATGCTTCGAGCAATCTCATTGGTATATTATTGTTCATATAAAACGGGATGGCATGGCTAAGATTAGATCTATTCTTTTATGATTTTAAGATCTCTTTGATGAAGCCACTATCTCATTTTCAATTAACGGAGGGAGTAACCATTATTGTTGAAATTTTGTGTATCTAGTTGTTGCCACGTCTTTTCACAAATTATTGATATAGTGGAAGAGACAATGGATTTATGAATGGGCATTCGTATATTTATTTTTTATCAACTCTATAATTTTTGGCTTTTGCTAATGAAACTATATATTTTCCCACAAAAGAAAAACATACCCGGGGGCAATTAGGTAATTCTAAAGATCCATGTATGTGGAGCAAGTAAATGCAATAAGCTGTCATAGTGATTTGTCATCACATCATTGCAGAGAGGACATGTCTTGCCAACCTCCTTCATACGAACATGGGACATGGCCATCATTAGAGACACATTATATGACAACAAATCCATCAATAAATTATTCGCAGAGGTGACATGAAACAAGTGCTTTCTTTGCTTTACTTTACTTATCTTTTCTTTTTTTTGCCAACAAGACTGATGCTTTCTTTCTTGACCCTGTCAAATGAAAATTAAGACGTAAAGAATTACAATTTATGTATGTTTTAATTTCTTGTTTGGAATAAAGAAATTTCTTGGAGATAAGAATAGGAAATGGCATTGTGTGTTTAGTTGGCAACAATTTGACAGAGTTAACTTAATTGGTTTATTATTTCACTAAAATAATTAGATTTTTAATCGACGATGCGTATATAGATACACTATTTTGTCATTTTTCTTTATATCAAAATATATTGAGTTCTATATTTGATGAAATTTCCTAGACATTTTCCATATCATTGACGTTGCCCTAGAAAAGGAATTTCCTCTTATTTTTCTATACTAACCCTTTAAATCAAGTCAACTTGAGTATATTTAGCATTGGGAAAGGGGCACAATAACTCCAATCTTCCTTAAAAATATATATGTAATCTACTATTCATTTTATTGCTTAACTTTTTATATTTAATTTCTGGATTAAATTGGTGAATTTTATAATAAAATTTTCTATTTAATCCAGCAATTAAATATGAAGAGATATGGTATAAAATCAATCGAATGTTTATATATAATATCAATTACAATCTCAAAAACGCAACCGTTTCACCATTTGTATGTAAATAATAAAAGGTTTTAAAAATATTACAGGTTTTCACAATAAAGATATTTGAGAATTAATCTTTCTACGGAGCCCTGGGTAGGAAGAAATCTCATGGTTAGCATGCTTGGAGCAATCTCATCTATGTATTATGTTTTGTATAAAATGGGATGGCATGGCTAAGATTAGATCTATACTTTTATGACTTTAAGATCTCTTTGATAAAGCCACTATCTCATTTTTCATTAACAGAGGGAGTAACCATCATTCTTGAAATTTTGTGTGTCTAGTTGTTGCCACGTCTTTTCACAATTTATTGATATAGTAGAAGAGACAAAGGATTTACGAATGGGCACTCGTATATTTATTTTTTATCGTCTCTATAAATTTTGGCTTTTCCTAATGAAACCATATATCTTCCCACAAAGGAAAAAGATATCCGGGGCAATTAGGTAATTCTAATGATCCATCTATCTGGAGCCAGTAAATGGAATAAGCTGTCATAGTGATTTGTCATCACATCTTTGCAGAGAGGACATGTCTTGCCAACCTCCTTCATACGAACATGGGATATGCCCTTCATTAGAGACAGATTATATGACAACAAATCCATCAATAAATTATTGGCAGAGGTGAAATGAAACAAGTGCTTTCTTTTCCTTACTTTTCTTTTCTTTTCTTTTCTCTTCTGCCAACAAGACTAATGCTTTCTTTCTTGACCCTGTCAAAAGAAAATTAAGACATAAAGAATTACAATTTATGTATGTTTTTATTTCTTGTTTGGAATAAAGAAATTTCTGAGATAAGAATAAGAAATGGCATTGTGTGTTTGGCTGGCAACAATTTGATAACCTTAGTGTAATTAGTTTATTATTTCACAAAAATAATTAGATTTTTAATCGACGATTCGTATATAGATATACTATTCTGTCATTTTTCTTTATATTAAAATATATTGAGTTCTATAGTTGATGAAATTTGCTAGACATTTTCCATATCATTGACGTAGCCCGAGAAAATGAATTTCCTCTTATTTTTCTATACTAACGCTTTAAATCAAGTCAACTTGAGTATCTTTAGCGTTGGGAAAGGGGCACAATAACTCCAATCTTACTTAAAAATATATCTGTAATTTACTATTCATTTTATACCTTTTCTTTTTATATGTAATTGCAGTATTAAGTTGGTGAATTTTATAATAAAATTTCCTATTTAATCCAGCAATTAAATATGAAAAGATATGGTATAAAATCAATCGAATGTGTATATATATATATAATATCAATTGCAATCTCAGAATCACAACCGTTTCTCCATTTGTATGTAAATGACAAAAGGTTTTACAAATATTACAGGTTTTTACAATAAAGGTATTTGAGAATTAATCTTTCTATGGAGCCTTGGGTGCGAAGAAATCTCATAGTTAGCATGCTTAGCGCAATCTCATCTGTGTATTATTGTTCATATAAAATGGGATGGCATGGCTATGATTAGATCTATACTTTTATGATTTTAAGATCTCTTTGATGAAGTCACTGTCTCATTTTTCTGGTTCTTTGGTAGATTAAATGGTTAGTCCTTTATTGATCATAGTGGTCATTGTTTCTAAGGGATTCTCATAATCCATTTACCAATTAAACTAAATATTAAATCAGCTGTGACTTTTCATTATCACAAGGGCTCCATGATTTTATGTTAACCATGTTTAGTTTAGATTACTTGTTTTAATGAGAAAAATTTATTGGCTCCCTTCTTTTTTGCTATAATTATATTTATATGGAAGTACTTTCATTTCATGAACAGGATCTTTCTTAGTATTTCATTTTTTTTAACTGTACTCTCTACTAAAAAATGATTACATTTAATTCTTGGACTGAATTTGAGTAGTCCACTTCTTTTCCCGCCATAAATATGAATACTTTTATTAGATTCACAATTTATTCCACTTTTATTATTATTGTTGAAGACCAGTGCTTATCAATGTGTATATATGGCATGACGTTCTTCACTATCCACTTCGATATTAGAGGCCTTGAACCAATTCATGATGGCGAACCTTTGGTTTCATTTTTCCTTCTTCATGTTCTCACTGCTTTGCTATCTCATGGTCTGTCCAATTTATGCCACAACAATTTCACCAAAAATGATGAATTGGCACTTCTTGCTCTCAAAATTTCTGTGAGAGACCCATTCAATCACTTGGCTAATTGGTCTAACTATTTCTCCATTTGCAATTGGGTTGGGGTTACTTGTGATTCTAAAGGTGAGAGAGTAAGTGTATTGAATCTTGCTCACATGAGTCTCATGGGCACCTTACCCTCACAAGTGGGGAATTTGTCCTCCCTTGTTGAACTTGCCCTTCATAGTAACAACTTTCATGGTGAGTTACCGAAGGAGTTGTTGCAGTTACATAAGTTGAGAATTCTCAACCTTAGCTATAATGAATTTGATGGGAAAATTCCTGCGTGGACTGGAAGTTTATTTGCTCTTCAATGCCTGAGCTTTCGAGATAATAGTTTTCACGGTGTTATTCCTCCAAGCATATCAAATTTGTCAAAATTCTCCTTGGATTGGAGTCACAATTTCATCCATGGATCTATTCCACTTGAGATCGGAAGGCTTCAACATTTAAAGATTTTACGTATAGCAGGGAACAATCTTTCAAGAAATATACCTCCAACTATTTCTGGCTTATCCTCACTTGAGCTGATGCTTTGTCATCAAACTCCTTAAAAGGTATGCCTTTCATAATATCAGATAAATTTATATTTGCTCCAGGTCATTTCAAGCAATTTTGTGTTGATGTTAGTGCATCTTAGGATAAGCTATTAATTACAATCTCTCGTTCAACCTTCATTTGCCCATTTTTGTTCATTATCAATCACAATCAATTTTGTTCATTGTTCATATATATATATAGATATATGTAGCAAATAGATGATAGGAGTGAAGGGAAGCTCTACTAAAGAATTATGATAATGATTGGATTGATGGATTTGAATTTAAATTTTAGATTTGAAATCTTGCATTTCAAATCTCACATTTAAAATTCATGTACTTAAAATCCTTGGTTTGAGTAGTATAAAAAAATCAAATGAAAGACAAGAATGAGAGATAAAAAAAAAAAAAAAGATACGAGAGTCATAGAGACATCAATAGTGAAAACAAAGAAAAAAAAACAATATGTTTGAAGTGGTTGAAATTTCAAATGATTAGCATGTAAAGGAAATTTGAAATTAGAAAGGAAATATAATAAGAAATATATTTGGATCCGTAAATTTTTTTATATCTAAATGAAGAATTTGATCCAAATCCTTGTTAATCTAAACACAACATAAAATAAGAGTTCTATAAAAAGTCAGCAGAAGCAAAGAAACGTGTATTGAGTGTAAATTTTTACATGAATTCTGTGTTTTTTATTTTCCTTATTGGCTATAAACATCATTATAATTTCAACTGAGATGCATAAAAAGGTGTAAGGCACAGAATTACCAACTTCTGATTGAAGGGGGATTGATGTCTAAGAGGAACATGCTTTGGATCATATAATTAAATATTGTTGTAGGTTTGTGAGCTATATAGATTGATTAGTATGTGGCAGTAAATCAAATATGATCGCAAGGGTATAAATTAATTAAAATTAAACATTCATTATGGGCTTCCAAGGTTTTTTTTTACTGTTCCTTGAGTTAAAATTTACCATCTATTCCCCAATAGTCCTTATCATTCTAACTGTATCCAGTCAACAACTCTTCACACAAGAATTTTATTGATAGGGTGGGAAAAAAAAAACATTTTCAAAAGTAACTACATTTCAAGCCATCTTCATTTGAACCAGCGCAGTAGAATCAAAGATGGGTGGGAGATCTTTTTAATATATAAATATATACATCAACTATGGTATTTGAATTTTCATTTTAATTTTTATTGGCCGATATATCAAACATGATTGCCTTCAATAGGAAGAGACCCGTGAGTAATAAAAAAACTATATGAAGAATATAAAAAAATTAACATTTTAAGGATTTAGGAATGGTAAAGATGCAAATTCAACAAAGTTAATATTTTATTCATATCTTTGTATAATATATATATATATATATTATATACAATACACTATTTTCACCCGTTTTTTATATTATAGTTATTGTTAGCAATTCAAAATTTGTTCATATATGTTTTGTGAGTTTTGATATATATTGTTAAAAACTTGTCATATTATTTATCATTTATTTTTAGAGTAAAATATATTCAGCCACAAGGATTTGGCTTTTTGGTTAGTGTACTGGATTCTGTATATCTAACCAAAAAGTTGGAGGTTCGCATTGGCATGAAAGAGAACAATAAAATATATTCATTTATCTTTAATTTTCTTAATATTAATGAAGCCAACCTATACCTTTCAAAATATACACTTTAGTTTCTTTTGTGTTTTTTTTTTTAACTCTGTTGAAAGTAATTTATCAAAGATTCTCCAAGGTGAATCATGGCAATTTAAACTTACTAGTATACCCTTCGCCCAAACCATTAATTCTATTCCTAACCATATCACTCTCCCTTGCCTTTGCACAAAACAACGCATGTAACACACGACATAATGATGCACTTTTTTATTTTATTCAATCAATTATGCACCATAATAAATAAGTACAGTTCCAGCATACCCGAAAAGAAGTACACTTCCAAAATTTATCTATTTATGCTAATGAAATTTGGTCCAAAAATATTGGGTTGAAAATTAATTAAAAAAGAGCTCAAATTAGCAGCTACGCGTAAAGTAATTTGCTTGGTTTAAGAGCTTTGTCATTTTCCTATTTTCTAAATACAAAGTCAGGACTTATAATATTTGATCAAAATAAGCTTAAAAGAATGCGTTCATAAAATTATTATTGTTACTTATTTTTCTTTTTTATCATAATCATTTTGTACATGAGAACTCATAATAATGTGGTGTTCTCATTATCATAATGTAAGAGATATTCCAAAAACAATTGGTGCTCTCACAAACATGAAAATTATATACCTAGAGATTAACAAGTTGTCTGGCCAAATACCAAGAAGCATTGAAAACTTGACTGTGCTTCAGGAATTATATCTTGATGATAATATCTTAGAAGATATGCTTTCAACATCATAATGTATAACTTTTTATTAATTTTGTGTTATTTTTGCATGTTATCATTGGTCATGTGGTCCATCCGTCAACCATATTTGTCTAATATTGTTTAGAAATATTACTCTGTTTACCACTATTTTTTTTTTGTTAAAAATAGAGATGAGCATATAATATTGTTATTGATTTTGTGAAGATTTGCATTTTCAATTCCATGTTCTCCTATATGGGTATTCGAATGATCAAAGTTAGCGCACTTTATTCAAATTTACTTCCCCTGGGAAGATTAATGTTTGATAATCCCTAGACTACTGTTACTTTTCAAGGATATATACAAAGATGCTTTGGAAATTTGATTTTGCTTTAAAAATTTGATCTCGGTCACAATAATTTACAAGGTATACTATTAGTTAATTGTAATTTGGTATCATCAACTTTTGTTTCCTTTGTGTTGTTATTTTGTCTTTTGAAACTTAATAATTATAAACTTAAATTCTAATAGCTTTCTAGTCAAAATACCATTAATTATATGTAATATTAGAGTTGAAATATATTCATTTGAGTGATAATGATAATATGGAGTACATCAATATTAAAATATAAAGTCTTCACTTCAGTTGTTTCTCTTAAATTGTAAAGAAGAAGAAAAAAATTGAAAACAAATATAAAACTTTAATCCCCATAGTTTTACCAAATTCTAAGAATCAGTCCCTAGGGAAAATAATGAATTATGATTCTATTTATCTCTATTTTAAGAGATAAAAACAGAGGTAAACATATACCACTATACACAGTGCCAAATTCTATTTATTTATATTTAAGGCGTTGGGCAAAGGTGAAAGAAAGAGAAGGAGACTTTGAAATTTGGTTATTGATCTTGTTTTGTTTTTCTTAGTAATGCTTAATAGTTAACCACATCATCTATCATATAAGAATTCATTTACAATATTATCACTTGCTTGGTATTTCATCGGTTCTATCAGTAGGGCCGTGTGTAACACTAATGCATTAAGGCTGTCGTCTTAGGCCTAAAACATACTCCCTCCGTCCTAAATTATAAGACATTTTTAGATAAAATCTCACATACCAATAAAACTCATCAAATATACTTTATTACCTTACTTTTTCAGGACAAAAATATAAACTTTCAAAAATGCCTTTCATTTAATACTCTATTAATGAAAGAATATTGAAAAGACAGAATATATGAGAAGGGTAATATTAAAAAAATATCATTAATGAAACCTTATTTTCATCAAAGTGTCTTATATTTTGAGATATTGAATCTTCCTTAAAAGTGTCTTATAATTTGGGACGGAGGGAGTATTCACTTATATCCTATACAATCGGTCATTCTTTTGTTCAGTAAACATTAATGTTAATTATATATTCTCATCAAGAATTTATTACTTACTTTTATCTTAGATAACCAATAATTAATTTTTTACTAAGCATTAATGTTAATTATACTTCATTAAAAATTTATGGCTGCCTATACTCTGCTACAACCACTTTGCCATTTCATCTCTTCTTTTCTCACAACCAAATCATTTTTTTCTCTACCATTATTTTCTTATTAAAAAAATAGCTCTTGATTAGCCATTTCCATGGGCACGGCTTGATTGATAACTTGATTTTCCATTTGTCATTATGAAGTCCACAAGTCCTTTTATTTGTTCATAGGAGTTTTGCACTTCTATTAAAAGAATTAAGAAATCCAATTGTAGATGGCCATATATATTCGGTGTGTTTTTTCCTCTTTTACCCTGTATTTATTATTGTTCTAATTTTTTATAGAATTTGAATTGGTAAAATAATAATACAATAGGCCTCTAAAATAGTGTCACCTTAGGCCCTAAAACTTCTTTAGATATCCCTATCTTTGAGTTTTCGGTTTTTAAGGTTGTAGAGGACTGAACCAAGAGCCAGTTCCTAATACAATAGGTGGCATTGGATGGCCCCATTTGTTTAGAAAACCATGACTTCTTTTGATTATGTCATCATTAGTTTCAATTGTCCCCAAATGTGTCAAAATTAGAGACCTTGGCTTGGAATTTTAGTTCTATCCACGGATCTATTCCACTTGAGATTGGAAGGCTTCAATGTTTAAGGATTTTATATTTAGCAATGAATAATATTTCAAGAAAAATACCTCCAGCTATTTCTAACTTATCCTCACTTGAATTGATGTCATACAACTCCTTAGTAGGCGTGTCTTTTATAATATTGGATAAATTCATATATTTTCTCTAAATCATGTCAAAAAATTTAATACGTGCTAGAATGTCTTAGAATAAGCTATTTACACTATCTTATTCAACATTGATTTTGTTGGAGAGGGGAATGGGGTATATATATATATTGATTATGTTGAGTAGGGGGCAATAAATGAATCTACAAATTATATATAATTTGAATTTATTGTGATATTGGTAACTCTGTCATTATGCTTTCAACACAATATAGTGTATTAACATCATTTAGTATTCTCTGCACTGCCAGGAACAAATATTTTGCATGCTCTTATTAATTTTTGTCCTTTTCATTTGGGTTCATGGAGCCATAATGCAAGAGATACTTCTTAATGTTTTTTAAATTTATATGATTTTTTATACAACATATGTTGTCCGTGATCATCTCCATAAAGTTATATTGTATTTCTATGATTTTCTATAATATATACAAAAGTACTAATATCAGTGTTTTTATTTGTTATTGCGATAATGCAGGAGATATTCCAAATGAAATTGCCAATCTTTCAAATCTTAAAATTATGTCTTTGGCTCAAAATCAACTCATTGGCTACATACCTAGAAGCATTGGAAGTTTGGTTTCGCTTCAGGAATTAGATCTTGGTTTCAATAATTTACAAGGTATAAGTTTTATGCAAATTATAATTCACTATAGATTATTTCTTTTTTCTTACTTCTTGTCTCTTGCAACTTGAAATTATGAACTTAGATGCTAATCTTTTTCGTCAAAATGCTATTAATTATATACCCCAAAATGTAAAAGTCTAGAATATTTCGCAAAACAAAAATTTGATTATATTTTTATACATAATTTGTAATATTTTATAATGTCATTGAGAACACAACCTGTTACAAAGATTTCAAATATAAAAGGGGATAATCTCGGTTAGGTCTCTTGCAAGGAAACTTTCTTTAAATTTCAAAGGTCTTTTTCTTTTTCCAACTGCTGATATATTCCTAAGGCAAATAAACCAGTACAGTACAACTGAAACCGCAAACGACAACAGAGCAACAAAACAAGGAAAGCAGCAAAGAAAAATCAGAATCAACAACAACATAAGATAGATCAGCCAACTAATTTTAACTAGTAGACACCCATCCTATTAGAACCAAAAACAATATGCTTGATTTTTAATTTCAAAGGACTTTAATGAAATTAAAAATCAAGAATATTTACTAAATCCAATTTTAATAAAGGAAGGGCATTTTATTAAAAAAGATGAGTATTTTTGTAATTTTTAATTTTTAATTTTATAAAAATTTCTTGGGACTTAAATGCAAATTTTCTAATTTAAATTTAATGTAAAAATTAAATACAAATAATTTTAACTAAATATTGGCACGCGTCTCTTTTTTAACTTTCCCACTTAATATCTCTTCAAATACAAACAAAAATGACACTGCACATGAGGTAATAGAAGCACAAAATCTATCATTCATAGGTGCAACTTTTAAACATATATATCAACACTTGTAGTATTGTAGTTTTTATTTTGTTATATTGATACACATACATAATTATATAAAAAGTTGGTTTATAACTTTTGAAATTTTCTTGATAATTCTATCACCACAATTGTAGTCTTACCTTTTCTTAAAAGGTTCTATTTATATAATTACCATAAATCTCAATGAAATAATATATTTAGTTTGAATATTTTAAAGTATATCATATTTTATAATTAAATTTTTGATATATTTAGATTCAATATTTTAAAGTATATCATATTTTATAATTAAATTTTTGGTTAAATATATAGATTAAATATTTTAAAGTATATCACATTTTTACTTTTCCAAAATATTTACTCTTTTTCATTGTTTTCACTTAGTTAATTATAAGAATTTTAAGGGATAAAAGGCCCCGTTTGTTTCAGCTTATTTTATGAAGAAATTTATTTTTTTGAAAAGAATTATTTTATGATTTTAATGATGTTTGTTTAAATTTTTGAAAATAATTAGAACAGAAAAGAAATTTTTTGATTATTTTAAGAAACTACTTTGAGAAAGAATGTTTTAAAAATGTGAGATGCAAGAAGATATACTAAGATTTTAAAATAATTAAATAATAAATTATTTTTAAAAAATAAATAAAGATATTATAAAATTTAAAAATAACTAATCAATGATTACTTTTTTATTATTGTAACGAAACATAAAGTAATGTATGCTTTTTATAAAATTTTTACAAAATAATTCTTTTATAAAATCCCTAAATTATCTAATAATGATGTATTTTTTAATCTTTAACAAATGGACCTGAAAGAATACATAATGTTATGTTAATATATAAATAGAAAGTAAAGTTTGGATGGATCCAACGTCTAATTCAACGTTGTTTTAGCCAATTTTGTTACTTATCAATCACAGTCAATTTTGCTCTTATTGGCTATAAACAGCATTAGAATTTTAATAAGAGGAATAAGCGGGTGAGAAATCAAATTCTAATTGGGCTTTAAAAAATGATTAGAGTGGCAGCATGGCATATATTGGGCTTTATTTGAACAAAAATTAATCTTTAGCATGAAATGCCAAAAAAACAAGTTCAAGCTATATCATATATGGATCCGCCACTAAAATAAATCAAACATATGATGACTGGTCATAAAATATGTAATCAATTTATCCAACTGATAGCTTTTCACACGTCAGAATTTTATAGATGGCATGAAAAAAAAAAAACAATTTGTAAAGACAACCAAATTATTAAGCTATCTCCATTATTTTGAATTGGGGCTGAAATGAGAATCAAAGGTGGGTGGGAGATTTTTTTAAAAAAATATATAAATATATACATAAACTGTGGTATATATTTGAATTTTCCATTTAAGTTCTAGTATTGATATTTTTAAAAGTGATTTACTAATTTTATGATTTGAGAGAAATGTTATTACATAATTGATGGTGTATAATAATATAAAACTTATAAACACCTTGTTGGTGGACGATCTATAAGTACATTTGTAAGTAATTTTTGAGGAAGGCTTCTCTCAGCCCTGGTGAGCCCCCAAACCCACCTCGCCTAGATATTCTAAAAGCAAATATAAAACTTATAAATATAAATGTATAAAAATAAAAACATATTAACAACATATTAACTTGAAAAAATGGCAATAAAATCCCATCGAAGTATAAAAATAACACTTAGGTTCCTCTAAATACCATAATTCCTCTAAAGTCTTAGTGATTTCTGTTTAGCAATGAAAAATTTATAAACTTTATATGATATAAATTTTGGTGGTGATGAAATCTATTTAGCTATTTAAAAAATAAAAGAAAATAATTTACTCTTTTTATGGGTAAGTCTATTGCATATAAATCCAAAACACATTTTTTCTGTGTTATTGATTTTTTTTTAAGATTTGCCTTTCCAACTTCTTGCCCTCCTCTACGGGTATTCAAATTATTAAAGTTAGCTTATTTTGTGCATTGATGAAAACAGCTTTGCAAAAGTTTGCTTCCTTGTTCAAATTAATTTCCCCTGAGAAAATTAATGTTTGGTAGTTCTGTAACTGTTATTTTTCAATGCCATAGTGATGATAATAATTTTTTAAATTGGTTCGGATAAAATAATCCAATGTTCTTTGTAATCCACTTTTAGCTAGACAATTTGTCACTTTAGATGTTTTAGAATTTCTTCTGTAGTTACGTTAAAACCATGTAAAATTTTTCAAACAATTATTGCACAATATGTTGCCTATAATTTGCATGTGTTGTTAGACTTGGTAAAAAAGATTCATCATATATAGACACTCATAGGATTAATATGCCTTCTTTTTTGTGTCTTTATCACATGCATGGGAAATATTCTCAATAGATATACCTGTGACCAATTTAAATTCAATACCTTTAAGCGTTAACTTTTTTTTGCTTTTGTAGGTGATATACCAAATGGTATTGGAAAATTGGATATGCTTCAAGTGCTAGGTCTTGAACATAATAATTTACAAGGTAACTTTTTCATCAAATTATGATATTCTGGCTACGATAGGTTTTTTCCTCTCTTTAATTGTTTTCTCATTATTACTATGAAGAGCCATGCATTTTTTTTCCTACTTTACCTTGTTTTAATAAATGTGTATGGGCGAAATTTTCTTTTTTAACAATTCTTTAAAAAAAAATTTCTTTTCCATAAAATATTAGTTCCGGTTGGCCAAAAACAATTTATTTTCCAATAAATATAGAAATGCGGTTTAGGATGTCGTGTGGAGCATTTTGTTTGATTGGAACAAACGAAGCTCCGTTCATAGCGAGGAAAATGGATGTGCCTTTATTGATTCGCACATTAATTCATAAAATTAATATTTTGTTGAGCTTCCTAGACATTTTTTTAAATTCTTCAATATTTTCTGTTATCTTTTAGTAATGTTCTGACACAAAACAAGCACCATTTCCCTTTTTTAAAAATAGTTATCAATATAACTACATATATTTCCAATATGATATCCATGCATTATGTGAATTAAAATTACATAATTGTGAAGAACCTATGTGGACCATCACCGTTCAATCTTAATATTTTTGAATCTATGTGAAGCTCAATAAAATATATTTTGAAACATTAAAGACTATATAAACCCAAAAAACTGTTCTTTCCTTTTCTTCAAATAATTACACGTTGACATAAATAAGTATAATATTAAAGAAATTATTTTAGTATTCAACTTGCATGTTATATAGAAAAAATAACTATTTTTTATGATCTAATCTTTTTTTTCCTGGCTACATGTAGCTTGTGATATTATATTAAGAGTGTAACGTTGAATGCATATAGACACAAAAAAGGGGAGAAAAAAATTGCATGCAATTGGCACTGTAGGAGGGCATCCACTTCCATGTGTCACGGGTTATATTTTTATTTTGAAAATTGGGACAGTAATCATCAAACTATAAGTATATGATTATTTTTTCCTTTTCACGTTTTTTGTGAATAATAATTATAAACATATTTTTGTAAGCACATTCTATGAAATATTTTATAAGAATTGGATGATTCTTGAAATTAAATAAAAAAAATTATAAACTTGAAAGACGATGCCTAGCTGAGCATTGGCCTTAATCATCTCATAGAGTTATATTGTATCATTTTAACACATTGCATGAAACTTTAAAATTACAAAATCTATCTCTCCTTACGAAGGCATCTCATATGCCTGAATTTAAATTAAATTTCTTAATTAAAAACTTGATTTTACAAAGACATCTTAATTAATTTTCTTTGTCATAATTATTGTTAGTAATTCTAATTTTTTTATATATGTAAGTCTTTATGATCAAAGTGTTTTGTGAATTTTGATCTATTGTTAGAAAATTTTCATATTATTTATGATTCATTTTGAGAGTGAACTATATTCATTTATATTTAATTTTATTAATATTACATGAGCCATCACATAATTTTAAAAAATACACAATTAAATTTAATTTTTAACTCTTTTAAAAAATACTATATCAAAGATTCTAAAATACATTTTTATTTAGTAAAAAGTGCATCTTAGCAATTTGAACTTACTTGTTTACTCTTGTTAAATGCCATTGATTCCATTCCTAATCTACACCACTTTCCCTCCCCCGCCTTTGCACAAAACAATGCGAGTACGCAACAATGCACTTTTTTGTATTTATCTAATTATTTATGCAACAATTTCTACCTTCCTATGCTGCGACAAGAAGGGCATTATTTACATTTATATCTTCACCATCATTGGTCAATGTACTTTAGAGCCCTCAGTTACACATTTAGATTTGCTGCTTACATGCACATAATTGTGTTGTGAAATTTACAACACTTTGGTGTCCTTCAAATATGGAATTGTATTACTCTGTTTTTTGGACTACAAAATAGAGGTAAGCATCCAATACTGTTATTGATTACATGAAGATTTACCCTTCCAAATCCATGCTCTTTTCATTTAAGTCTCTCAATAGTTTCTTTTTCTTCTATTTATTTTTCAATAATCAATTCATTGAAGATTTTCCTTCTAATTCGAACTATCAGATTATGGGTTGTCTATGTCTTTAATTTATTGCTCTATCTCAACTTCTCCTTTACTGTTTTTGTTATCTTATGTTCTTTTGACTTCTCTTCTCTCAATCTCAAAAGTGGGTCTTTGTTGCTTGTTTGAAAATCTAATTTTTGAGAAAAAATATAAAAAAAAAGAGAGAGAATTGTGGAATGATGTTGAATATATAATTTTTTTTATATAAAGTTTGCCTGAAGTGAAAGTTATTATTCACATAATTATTATTTAGACCCTCGTTAGAATTTCAAATTGGAGATAATATTTAAAATGTGTTTAAATATAGATTTATATACTAATGTTGAAGTATTGTAAGTGCCCAATCATTGTCATAGTTTGTTCAATAATTGAGATAAAAGTTTTTTTGGCCAAACATAAAAACAAGAATAAGTTTACTAGTTAAGCCCGTGGCTTTTAATTTGTCAAATGAATAATACAATCTTGTAAAAAACTCCTTTTACCTCAAATCAAATATGTGATTTCACCCAAAAAAAATTAAATGTGAATTTCAAGGCCAAAATAATAATAATAATAAAGCGAAATCTGCTACTCAAGTTGGAAAGCTTCATTCTCTCTTTTTAACATTCCTACCTAAAATACAAATAAAAATAATTTAGCGCCACTAAGATAAAATTAGAGAATCTGGATAATTCTTTATGCTTCAAAACTCATTTGCAATATGTATTGGAAATTTGATTATGCTTGAAGGCTTGGATCTTTCATCTAATAAATTACAAAGTACTGTTTCAGCAAATGATATAAGTGATCTTCATTTTTTTTCTTTAATAAAATATTTATGCATAAGCAAACATATAGCAATGTCTGTACTTATGAAAAAGTGTTTGTATGTTTTTGTTGTTATATTGCAAGATGCATTCCCAAAAATAACTTGCAGCAATTTTTTTATTCGTAGGCAATATTTGTCTACATGCATGCATGTTGAAGTGCAATATTTTAAACATATAGAAAGAAATATTAAAAAAAATAGTAAATGATTGTGAGGGACCTGTGTGAACCATCACTGCACTATGCTCTAAAATATTTTTCTAAGTTATGCGAAGCTCAATAAACATGTACTAAAAAATGAAGAATGAAAATATATATATATATATATATAACGTGTGAAGATTTGTCTGATATTGTTTAGAAATATTACTCTGTTTACCTCTATTTTTTTTTTGTTAAAAATAGATATGAGCATATAATATTGTTATTGATTTGTGAAGACTTACATTTTTCAATTCCATATTCTCCGATATGGGTGTTCAAATTATCAAAGTTAGCACAATTTGTTCAAATTAACTTCCCCTAAGAAAATTATTGACAGATAATTCTTAGACTACCGTTATTTTTCAAGGATATATACAAAGATGCATTGAAAATTTGATTTTGCTTTAAAAATTTGATCTTGGTTACAATAACTTACAAGGTATACTATTAGTAAATTGTAATTTGGTATCATCAATTTTTTGTTTCCTTTGTGTTGTTGTTTCGTTTTTTAAACTTAATAATGATAAATTTAAATGCTAATAGCTTTCTAGAAAAAATACCATTAATTAAATGTAATATTAGAGTTGAAACATATTCATTTGAGTGATAATGTTAAAATGCAGTGCATCAGTATTAAAATATAAAGTCTCCACCTCAGTTATTTCTCTTAAATGGTAAATAAGAAGTAAAAAATTGAAAATTATAAAACTTTAATCCCTATAGTTTTACCAAATTCTAAGAATCAGTCCCTAAAGCAAATAATGAATTATGATTCTATTTATCTCTGTTTTAAGAGCCAAAAACAGAGGTAAACATATATGGCTATACACAGTGCCAGATTTTATTTATTTGTATTTAAGGTGTTGTGCAAAGGTGTAAGAAAGAGAAAGAGACTTTGAAATGTTGTTATTGATTTATTTTTCTTAGTAATGCTTAATAGTTAACCACGTCATCTATCATATAAGAATTCATTTGCAATTTTATCACTTTCCTAGTATTTCATTGGTTCTATCAGTAGGGCCGTGTGCAACACCAGTCCATTAAGGCTGACGTCTTAGGCCTAAAAAATGTTCACTAATATCCTATATAATCGGTCATTCTTTTTCTTATCAAGCATTAATGTTAATTATATATTTTCATTAAGAATTTATTACTTACTTTTTTTTATCTTAGATAACCAATAATTAATTTTTTACTAAGCATTAATGTTAATTATATCTCTTCATTAAAAATTTATGGCTGCATATACTCTGCCACAACCACTTTGTCATTTCACCTCTTCTTTTCTCTCAACCAGATCATTTCTTGCTCTACCAAAATTTTATTATTAAAAAAATATAGCTCTTACTTAGTTGTTTCCATAGGCACGGCTTGATTGATAACTTAATTTTTCATTTGTCATTATGAAGTCTACAAATCCTTTTATTTGTTCATAGGAGTTTTGCACTTCTATTAAAAGAATAAAGAAATCCAATAATAGATGGCCATGTATATTAGGTGTGTTTGTTCCTCTTTTACCCTTTATTTGTGATTGTTTTAATTTTTATAGAATTTGAAGTGGCAAAATAACAACACATTAGACCTCTAAAATAATTTTGTGTTAGGACCTGAAACTCCTTTAGATGTCCCTATCTTTGAGTGTTTGGTTTCAAAGATTGTAGAGGACTAAACTAAGAGCTAGTTCCTAATATAATAGGTGGAATTGGATGGCCCAGTCTGTTTAGAAAACCATGACTTTTCTTGTGGTTATGTCATCATTAGTTGCTATTGGTATTAGACAAGTCAAAATTAGAGATCTTGGATTCAAATTTTAATTCCATCCATGGATCTATTCCACTTGAGATTGGAAGGGTTCGAGATTTAAAGATTTTACATTTAGCAAGGAATGATATTTCAGGAAAAACACCTCAAGCTATTTCTAGCTTATCCTCACTTGAATTGATGTCATGCAACTCCTTAATAGGTGTGTCTTTAATAATATAAGATAAATTCATATATTTTCTCTAAATCATTTCAAAAAATTTAGTGCATGCTAGAATGTCTTAGAATAAGCTATTTACAATATTTTATTCAACATTGATTTTGTTGGAGAAGGGAATGGGATATATATATATATATATTGATTATGTTGAGTAGGGAGCAATAAATGAATCTACAAAGTATATATAGTTTTAATTTGTTGTGATATTGGTAACTCCGTCATTAAGCTTTCAACACAACATAGTGTATTAATATCATTTAGTATTCTCTGCACTGCAAGGAAAAAAATATATTTTGGATGCTTTTATTAGTTTTGTCCTTTTCATTTGGGTTCTTGGAGCCATAATGCAAGAGATAGTTTTTTAATGGTTTTTAAATTTATATGATTTTTTTTATACAACATATGTTGTCCATGATCATCAACATAAAGTTATATTGTATTTCTATGATTTTCTACAATATATACACAAGCACTCATATCAGTGTTTTTATTTGTTATCGCGATAAACATAATTTTGTTAAACATAATTTTGATAAACATAATTCTCTGCACTCATACACAATGCAGGAGGTATTCCAAATGAAATTGCCAATCTTACGAGTCTTAAAATTATGTACTTGGGTTATAATCAACTCATTGGCTACATACCTACAAGCATTGGAAGTTTGGTTTTGCTTCAGGAATTAGATCTTGGTTCCAATAATTTATAAGGTATAATTTTATTCAAATTATAATTCACTATAGATTATTTCTATTTTCTTACTTCTTGTCTCTTGCCATTGAAATTATGAATTTAGATGCTAATCGGTTTTGTCAAAATGCTATTTATTATACATCCCAAAATGTATAAGTCTAGTATAAATTTTTTTTTTCACAAAAAAAAATTATTATATTTTTATACATAATTCGTAATATTTTATAATGTCGTCATTGAGAACTCAACCTGTTACAATGATTTCAAATATAAAAGGGGATAATTTCAGTTAGGTCTCTTGTACGGAAACTTTCATTAAATTTCAAGGGACTTTTTTTCCCCCAACTGCTGATATATTCCTAAGGCAAATAAATCAGTACAGTACAACTGAAACTGCAAACAACAACAAAGCAACAAAACAAGGAAAGAAACAAGGCAAAAATAGAATCAGCAACAACATAAGAGAGATCAGCCAAATAATTTTACCTAGTAGATAAGGCGAAGGAAGTGATGGTGAAGACACCCATCCTATTAGAACTAGCAACAATATGCTTCATTTTTAATTTCAAAGGATTTTAATGAAATTAAAAATCAAGCATATTTACTACAATCGAATTTTAATAAAGGAAGGGTATTTTATTAAAAAAAGATGAGTATTTTTGTAAGTTTTAATTTTAAATTTTATAAAAATTTCTTGGGATTTAAATGCAAATTTTCTAATTTAAAAATTAAATAAAAAGAATTTTAAGTAAATATTGGTCCATGTCTCTTTTTTAACTTCCCCACCCTAATATGTCTTCTAATACAAGCAAAAATGACATTGTACGTTAGGCAATAGAAGCATAAGCCGATCACGAAATCTAACATTCACAATCGAGATGCAACTTTTAAACATATATATCAACTGTCATAGTTTTGTACTTTTTATTTTGTTATATTGATATACAGACAAATATATAATTATATAAAGAGTTAGTTTATAACTTTTGAAATTTGGTTGATAATTCTATCATCACAACTTTAGTCTTCTATTTTTTAAAAGGTTCTTCTTACTATAACCCCCATAAGTCTCAATGACATAATATATTTAGATTAAATATTTTAAAGTATATCTTATTTTATAATAAAATTTTTGGTTAAATATTTAGATTAAATATTTTAAGGTATATCACATTTTTACACATCCAAACTATTTACTCTTTTTGGTTGTTTTCACTTAGTTAATTATTAAGAATTTTAAGAGATAATGGCCCATTTGTTTCAGCTGTTTTTTTTTTGGAAAAAGATCACTTATTTTAAGACACTTCTTTGAGAGAGAATGTTTTAAAACTGTGGGATGCAGGAAGATATGCTAAGAGTTTAAAATAATTAAATAATGAATTATTTTTTATAAAATAGAAATGAAGGAAAAATATTCGCAAGTGGTAACAAGTTGTTTGGTCAAATACCAAAAAATATTGGTAAAAATTAACATAGAAGGTATACTTTCAACTAATCATAATGTTTAACTTTTCATCAATTTTGTGTTATTTTTGTGGCTTGTTATTGGTGACGTGGTGTGTTCGTCAACTGCGTATAATATAGAACAGAAGCAATGTGGTCAAGAAGATATTTCATATTGGTGATTAATTATTAAAGAATAAATGAGCAAATCCTGAACTTTAGGTCCTTAGCACCATGGACTTTAGACTCGTTTATTGTGCAAATTATTTGCTCAACTTTTAAAAATAATACAGTCTTGTCCTTGCCATTAACAAAAGTTAGTTTTGACAGTTAGCGACTAGAAAATGAAAGAAAATGACATCAAAAATTATATAAAAGAACCTAAAAATTACAAACAAGGACAAAAATTACAAAAAAGGATCAAAAAATCTTTTTGGTCATTTTTGATAATTTTTAAAATCCTTTTCTATAATATTATCGTCCACTAATGGTCAAAGTTACTTTTATTAATGGTAGGGGCTATATTACATTGTTTTCAATAGTTGAGTGAACAACTTGTACAATAAACAAGTTGAGAATATATAGTACAACTGAACCTAAAATTTAGGGGGTAATTTGCTCATTTCTCCATTATTAAATATATATTCCTCACAAATCTCATCTGAAGTCAATCTATTCCTTCAATCAAATGTGTCTTCATCAAACATTTTGAAATGAAAAATTTATAAACTTTATATGATATAAACTTTGGCGGTGGTGAAATCTATAGCTATTTAAGAAATAAAAGAAAAAATAATTTTTTGTGAGTAAGTCTGTTGCATATATCCAAACCACATATTTTCCTTGTTATTTATTTATTTTTTTGAATATTTGCCTTTCCAACTTCGTGGCCTCCTATATGGGTATTCAAATTGTTAAAGTTAGCTCATTTTGCGCTTTGATGAAAACAGCTTTGCAAAAGTTTACTTCCTTGTTTAAATTAATTTCCCTGAGAAAATTAATGTTTGATGATTTTGTAACTATTATTTTTCAATGATATATTCTTGATAATAATTCTTTAATTTGGTTAAGATACAATAATCCAATGTTCTTTGTAATTCTCTTCTAGCTAGCTAGACAATTTGTCACTTCAGATGATTTATAGAATCTCTTTTGTAGTTGCGTTAAAACCATGTAAAATTGTTCAAACAATTACTACACAATATGTTGCTTATGATTTGCAAGCGTTGTTAGGGTTTTGACTAATTTCATCCTTATCTGGCACTTGTTGTAATTCTTCCAATATCTTACTTTCTTAATATGTGGCATTTTTGGTAATTGTTCAAAGTCTTGCACAAGCTGCCATTTTAGAGTCTTAACCTTTGTCTCATGTGTTTGCTTGTAGGTTCAAAGTATTATTTGTGTGAAATTCTGGTGTTACTTATAAATGATAATCTAAAAGTAACCATTAAATATTGTTCTTTTAAGTGATGATGGTAAGGACGTGTCTAAAGTGTAAATTTTGTTTTTCCTTACTTAATGTATAAGAGGAACCAGCAGCTTTGGATCTTATGATTGTTTTTGTTTTTCGTGGGTAGAATAGATTGATTAATGTGGCAGTATAGTCTTTGATGTAAAATACAAATGAGGAAAAGAGAATTTCATTCAGCTGCCATGTCATCATACACACACACACACACACACATACGGCCCCGGTGACTGGAAATAAGGGACTACAGGTTAGATTTGGCAAAAATGATTCATCATATATGGACACTTGTAGGATTAATAAGCCATCTTTCTTATGTCTTTATCACATAAATTGGAAAATATTCTCTCAATAGATATATCTATGACCAATTTAAATTCTATATCTTTAAGCCTTAAATTATTTTTTTATAGGTGATATACCTGAAGGAATTGGGAAATTGGATATGCTTCAAGAGCTATATCTTGATCATAATAATTTACAAGGTATTTTTTTTCATCAAGTTATGATATTCTGCCTACTATAGTTTTTTTTTTCTCTAGTTGTTTTCTTACTATTACTATGAACAACAAAGCATTTTCTTTTCCTACTTTTCCTTTTGTTTATAAATTTGTGTATGAGTGAATTTTTCTTTTCTAACAATTTAAACATAAAAATAAGTCTTTAGTTTTTGTTGGCCAAAAAAAGTTTCCTTTTCCAATAATTTTAGAAATGCTAGCAAGGATGTCTTGTGGAGTATTTTGTTCGTTTGGAATAGACGAAGCTGTTATTGTAAAATGGTGACTTGGAGTATTGTGTAAAACTTTATTTCTTTATAATCATTTTGCATCCAATTAAATCTTTAGTCCATATTTCAGTCTATATAAAATGTATTGAAAAGCTTCAGCACATGTAAAAAAGCATGTTTTTCTTTTCATGTGGTTCATTTTGCATCATGACATGTGGTTCATTTTGCATCATGACAAACAGTTCTAATGACTCTAAAAATAAATTATTACACTATGAAATCATGATATACTTAATATTTGTGATAATTAAGTATTTTTAAACAAAAAGTATGTGTTTTGATTAATTCATTTCCACCTAAAACATCCCTCAAATTCCATGTAGGATGCCTATCACATGAATTGCATCCGCACGATTTATAATGCATCATCACTCTTAATGATGTGTTTTTTTATGTTGTCATGTATGCAGGAGATATTCCTGAAACAATTGGCAATCTTACAAGTATAAAAATAATGGCCCTAGATGTTAATTAATATTTTCTAGCTTTTTAAATAAATTTATCAGCGCCTTTGTTGGAAATATTTGTTTTTCCTTTCTGTCCTTTTACATTTGGGTTTTTTAATCATATCCCAAACAATAATTCTAAGGAAATGGGTGATCTTCTAAGATTAAAAATATGAACCCATTCACATAAGTGCCCATGATTTTTTTTTGTCTTGCTTTCTACCTTTTGGAGTTTTGGTGCTCTTGAAAGCAATGTGTAAGTCATTATTTACATTTATATGTTCATTATCTTTGATCGTTATACTTTAGATCCCTCAACTACACATTCATATTTGTAGTTCACATACACAAGATTTGTGTTGTCAAATTTCCAACGCTTTGGTGTCCATCAAAGAGGAAGTGTTACTATTTTTACCTCTGTTTTTTGGGCTTGAAAACATAAGTAAATATATAAAACTATTCTTGATTCCAGGAAGATTTACTCTTCGAAGTCCATTCATGCTGTTTTCTTTGAGTCTCTTTATAATTTTTTAATTTCTTTTTTATTTTACACTTATTCTCATGAAGATTTTTCTTTTAATTCCCTTCATAGATAGATTAGAGCTATTGAACGAATAAATTTGTCTTTGTCCTTGTTAGCTCCCTTTTTGTTTTCCACATCAACACTTTTTTTTAATACTACTAGGATTTCTCTTTCCCTCATTGCTTGTTTAGAATGCTAAGTTTTGGGGCAATATCGTGCGGAATTTTTTTTGTTGAGAATGAATTTTTTTTTTTTCAATACTACAAGCTAGGACTTCTCGTTCCCTCACTTTTTTTAACACGTTTTTTTTTTGGGTTTCCATTATTGCTTGTTTAGAATGCTTGTTTATAAATTTTCTTTAAAGTTTGTCTGAGGTGGATTTTTTTTGTTGACTTGTAGAATCTTTTTCTTCGCTACAAACATCTTTATAATTTTAGCTTGGACTCCTTAAAATGAGTCAGCCTATGCCCTACAAGTTAATTCTTCAACTTGTTTGCCAAATTTATGATTCTGATTCATTTTGTGGTAGATATGAATTTATAAAGGTAAATTTGTGGAAAGTTATGGTTTACATAATTATTATATAGACCCTCATTATAATTGCATATTGGAGATAATATTATATATTAATGTTGAAGTACTGTAAGTGTCCCATCATTAACATATATCATATTTGTTTAATTGAGATTAAAAACAATTTTTTTTGGCAACACATTAAAGCAAGTTTAAGTTCATTACTTAACCCCATAGTTTTTTGTTTGCCAAATCTAAAATTGAATATGTGATTTGACCAAAAAAATTAAATATGTGAATTTCAATGCCTATTTTCATTGACAATGTATGATTTATATATTCCAAAATCCAATAATCAAAATCATAAATACAAGTGATATATATATTGACTATGAAATTAATTATTAGTTATTATATATAAGATGTGTTACCTTTGAATGTTACAACTTTGGTCATAATTGTGCCAATAAAATTCTTGCCTATTAGCTTCAATTGCCATTTGCACGGAACCAAAATTCTTAAGATATAATTTTATTTGAAATAACATTATAACAAATTTGCAACTACATGATTGGGGTCCAAGAGCATTATAACCTTTTATCTTCTTCAGCCATTTGTTAGTTAAAATATTAAATTCATTATGATTAGCAAATGCCAATATTGGGGGCGAACTCATTAATGAGATAGCCAAGGGTCCCAAATTGGCTTTAATACTTATTGTACACTGTCTTAATTCTAAAATTCAGAAAGAATAAGTTACCAATAGTTTCAAAAGTTATTTTGCATTTTACTTGATTCTCTTTTATTCCCAACTTCAAGATCTAGTTATATTTTGGTGGATTACACTAAATTTGATGGATCTTTTATTGATGTAACATTGTAGGAAGCATTCCCGAACAGATTGGTAATCTTAAAAGTCTAAAAATTTTATTTTTAGACACCATATGTTTTCAAGCCAAATACCATCAACTATCTTTAATATATCTGGGTTGCAAGAGATTGATTTTAGTTGGAATAATTTGTCGGGAGGCATTCCCTCAAATATATGTCATGGCCTTCCAAATTTACAAGCTTTGGATCTTCAAGCCAACAAATTATTTGGAGCTATACCATCTGATTGGACACAATGCAAGGAACTCAAAGAGTTACAATTAGGAGACAACTTCTTCACAGGTATGTACTGCCCACTATGCCAAATCTCTAAATTCAATCTTACCAAATATATTTTGATTGCACTTTTATGCATTGGACATTGGTTTTGATCAAGACCATTAAACAAAGTGGACTTCCTTAATTTTCATCTACACAAAAATTCTCCTCAACAAATCAATTTATTTTTATATAAAAAGTCAAGAGTCCATAAATAAAGCATACTTTGGAAAGAAGCATAAAGTCAATAAAACTTAGGCATTATTTTATAATTTTTAAATTCTTCTTGTTTTTTTTCTTTTTCCAAAAGGCTTTTAACAGGCTTCGCAACCAACTGCCCCGTTTCCCACGTTCCACCCTTCCTTGTGTATATATAAAAGAGAAAGTAAGACCCAATTGGATCAACTTCAACATATCAACGTTGTCCATCAAAATTTGGTATTTATATTCATTAATGTTTCTAAAATTGCAATCAAACCCAACAACAACAACAACAACAAGCCTTATCCCACTAGGTGGGGTCGGCTACATGGATTGCAAGACGCCATTGTGCTCTATCATTTATCAAACTTTAGAAATATTATTAATTAAGAGATCGCGTTCAACAACTTCCAAGAGTGTTCTCTTAGGCCTTCCTCTACCTCTCTTAATCGGACTCAAAATTATATTTCCACTCTTCTCACTGGTGCCTCCCTTGGTCTTCTTTGTACATGTCCCAAACCATCTCAACCGATTTTCTACCATTTTTTCCTCAATAGGTGCCACCCTCACTTTTCACGTATGTGCTCATTTCGAATTTTATCTTTACGTGTATGTCCGCACATCCATCGTAACATTCTCATCTCTGCTACTCCAACTTTATGCTCTTGCTGTCCCGTTAGAGCCCAGCATTCACTACTATGTAACATTGCCGGTCTGATAGCAGTGCGATAAAACTTTCCTTTAAGTTTATTAGGCACCTTACGGTCACAAATAACTCCTTTAGCTTTTCTCAATTAAACCACCCAGCTTGAATCTATGTGAAATATCTCCACTGATTTCGCCATCATTTTGAATAATGGCTCCCAAATATCTAAACTTTACCACTTGAGGTATAATTTGATCTCCCAATTTCACTTCCAATTATTGTCGAATATTCCTTTACCAAATTTACAATATAAATATTCCGTCTTACTTCTACTCAGACGAAAACCTTTCGATTCCAATGTCCTCCTCCATAACTCAAGTTTACAATTAACCTCTTTCTCTGTCTCTGCTATAAGAACTATATCATCCGCGAAGAGCATACATTTCGGGATTTCCTCTTGAATATGTTCCGTCAAAACATTTAAAATCAAGTTGAACAAATAAGGACTCAGAGATGATCCCTGATGTAGTCCAATCTTTATAGGAAAATCCTTTGTTTGACCACTAGGTGTTCTTATACTAGTTTTACCCCCTCATACATATCTTGTATGGCTTTAATATAAGCAATCCGTACTCCCCTTTTTTCCAACGCTTTCCAAAGCACTTCTCTTGGTATACGGTCATAAGCTTTTTCCAAATCAATAAAAACCATGTGTAGATCTTTATCTTTACAACGATACTTTTCCATTAATCCCCTTAGTAGATAAATCGCCTCTGTAGTTGATCTACCTGGCATAAAAACCAAACTGATTCTCAGAATTACTTGTCTCCAATCTAACCTGTGCTCAATTACTTTCCCCACAATTTCATTGTGTGGCTCATGAGTTTAATCCCTCTATAGTTAGTACCAATCTG